TGAGAGGCCCTTCACCCCCGCTGCAGGTCACCCCGCGGGGAAGGGGCCACTCGGGATCCCCCTGCACCGGGGGATGCTGCGGGCGTGTGGGGGGAAGCTGGACACCGCCATCCCCTTCCCCAGGTGTCAACATGATGCTGAGGAAGATCGCGGTGGCGGCGGCCTCGAAGCCGGCGGGGGAGATCAAGCAGGACGGGGAGACCTTCTACATCAAGACCTCGACCACCGTGCGCACCACCGAGATCAGCTTCAGGATCGGGGAGGAGTTCGAGGAGCAGACGGTGGATGGGCGGCCCTGCAAGGTGGGGGCGAGCCCTGCCTGCGCCGGGGGCTTAATCCTGACGCTGTGCGTGAGGGCAGGGGCGCTCATGCATGCGCGTGTGTGCACGCAGGTGTACACGCGTCGCATGTGCGTGCGCACACAGGTGCATGTGCGTGCACGCGCACATCTGTGCGGGCACACACGCGTGCACACGTGCCCACAGGTGTTTGTGCACGCACACGCATTTTGCATGAGGGCAGGAGCACTCCCTTGTGTGTGCAGGCACAGACGTGCGTGCACAGTTACCCGTGCGTGTACACGCGTGTTTGTGCACGCACACACATTTTACAATGGGGCAGGAGCACTCCCTTGTGTGTGCAGGCACAGACGTGCGTGCACAGTTACCCGTGCGTGTACACGCGTGTTTGTGCACGCACACACATTTTACAATGGGGCAGGAGCACTCCCTTGTGTGTGCAGGCACAGACGTGCGTGCACAGTTACCCGTGCGTGCGCACGCGTGTTTGTGCATGCACATTTTGCATGAGGGCAGGAGCACTCCCTTGTGTGTGCAGGCACAGACGTGCGTGCACAGTTACCCGTGCGTGCGCACGCGTGTTTGTGCATGCACATTTTGCATGAGGGCAGGAGCACTCCCTTGTGTGTGCAGGCACACAGACGTGTGTGCACAGAGTTACCCGTGCGTGCGCACGCGTGTTTGTGCACGCACGCGCATTTTGCACACCCAAGTTTGCACACGCACAGGCGTGTTTGTGCACGCACAGCCGCGCGCTCTCCCCTGCGAGCAGGGGGCTGAGCCCTCTCCCTGTGCCTCCCGGGCGCCGCTGCGCCCCGTCCCCTCCCCGCATGCCCCCAGGTGACAGATGGGCCCGGGCAACTGTCGGCCGGAACAAATGG